TTTGAATTTCCCTATTTAGGATTATTTTTTGTCCTAAGTATATATATTCTTCAACTTTTTCTATAACTTTATCATTTATTATTGTCACGGTGTCTTCGGAGTGCATGACTTTTGTTTTGTTTAAATTCATTTTCAGTCCTATTTTAGAAGATTCGGTATGTAGTTCTAAAACCATGGTTTGCATTTCTTGTAGGTCAGTAGCTATCAGGATTATGTCATCTGCAAATCGTAGATTACTGAGGTAGCGGCCATTGATGTTTATTCCCTTATATTTCCAATTTAGGTTTTTAAAAACGTACTCCAAAACTAAGGTGAACAGTTTGGGTGATAAAGTATCTTCCTGTTTGACTCCCCTGTTTAATGGTACAGGGTTCGTGTGTTCATGTTCATTTAGGTAGTATGTAGCTGTAGCTTGGTTCATAGTTTCTTTTATTAAGTTAATATATCTGCTGTCTATTCTACAATTTTGCATTGCGTTTATTACGGCCGTGTGTTCTATGGTATCGAAAGCTTTTTCGTAGTCTACAAATGCTAGGAAAACTGAAAACTTGTATTCGTTACATTTTTCTATTAATATTTTTGTGGTTAACAGGTGATCGGAAGTTGAATAGCCTTTTCTAAAACCTGCCTGTTCATATGGTTGGTATTCGTCTAATTTCCTTGTTAGTCGAGTAGTTATGACTTTGGTGAGTATTTTAAACAGGTGTGACAGTAGGCTGATGGGTCTGTAGTTTTCCAATTTTCGACTATCACCTTTCTTGTGCAATAAGATTACTTTAGAGTTGTTCCAGCTCCTAGGGACTTTGCCTGATGTAAACAACTGTCCACAAGCTTAGTTACAATTGCAATTAGTTCCTTACCTCCTTCTAATATCATATCTGTGGTAATACTATCTTCTCCTGCAGCTTTATTTCTCTTCATGTTTTCCAATGCTGTAGTTACCTCTGAAATTGTTACTTTTGGCATTATTTCTGATCCAACATTTTTTAATAATTTCCGTGCTGGTCTCATCTCATCATCTTGTTGATGTGTTCTGTAAAGTTCTGTGTAAAATTCTTCTATTCGTGTCAGTATGTTTTCTCTAGTTGTGATTTCATTTTCGTCTTTTCCCATTAATGATATCATCTGACGTCGTCCTAGTGTCGGTCTGAGGCATTTCATACTCTTATTTTCTTCAATAGTTGTTGATAATAATTTTTCGTTTCCTTTTATTTTTTGTTTGATTCCTTTTCTAATCTGCCTATTAAGTTCTCTATATTCGTCGGTTCCCCTTTTGTTAGATTTATTTAAGATCTTCCTTCTTTCTATTTGTTGTAATATTTCTTTGTCTAATACATTGTATGTTGTTTTTGGTTTTTTCAGTTGCAGAAGGCTTTTATTCACTGTTTCGGTAATAAGGTTATTCAAATCATCAATATCATTGGAGTTTATCTGCTGCATGCTAACTTGATTTAATGCATGCACTATCTTTTTATTAAATTCACTATTTTTGATTTCTTCAGATGTCCATTTGTATCTTTTTTCATGTATTCTTTTTCTTTCTAGTTTTTTGTTAATTATTAGTTTTGTTCTTATTAGTCTATGATCGCTTCCTAGGTCAAACTGATTTAATACTGATACGTCTTCTACTAGGTTTCTATTCTTCGTTAAGATATAATCTACATTATATCAGATTATAAAAATGTTTTACATATACTTAAACTATGGGATAAACTATGGCAACATATTATCTAAATTCAACTAGATTAACAAAAAATACCAAGGGGGCCCTCCACCTTTAAACTGCTTTTTTATCTACTTTTAACTACTCTTTTTTTACTTGACGGATGTAACTACAAAAATTTGCTTGAAGTGTACCTACCAGGTGTCTTTACAAATTTCAACAAGTACTTTTTTCAATCCTTTCGAATTTAATTTTAAATTCTCGATGGGTAAAATAGACCTTAAACAAAACGGTTAGTTGTAAATGGTGTTATTTCGACTGTGCGGTTAAACAATAACATGCTACCCAGTTATTGCGGTTCCCATATTTTTTAGTAGAATAAAAGTTAGAAAAATAAATGAAGAACAAATTATACAAGAAAAAGAAGAAAAAAAAATAAAAATATGAGAGTGCTTTACTATAAACAATTAATTCACAGATAATATTAAAAAAAACGTACCAAAATATTCTGTAAAACAACCATATTTTGCATATAGTTAAAGATACGTTGGTTTGTAATTTTTATTGTATTTTTTAACAGAAACATCATATTTTCTAAAGCTTGATCGCTAAGCCCAAGCATAAATTTCGATAATATACTAATGAAAACACATCTACCATGCACCATCTACTGTTGAAACGCTAGTAACGATTTAAACAACACTGTATGCTCTGACCGCCTTGACCTCAATGACAAAAATTATTTGAAGGTTATTACTGCTGTCCGTTTTTTTAAAGCCCTTCTCTCTATTCGGATTGTCGAATATAGGCCTCTAATAATTCTCGCCAATCATCTCTGTTATTTGTAAGAGGTTTCCACATTGGCCCTGCAGTTCTTTTAATATCGTCGCTCCAGCGCTAATATTCTAATTTGGCTCTAACCTGACTGGCTGACTCTGCTATCTGTAAAAGAGTTCAATTGCCTGTTTTAAAAATCTTTTTTCTAAAAGAAGACTTCGTTTACAATGAAGATCGTTGATCTTTACATTTACCCGAGCGTCATTAATTCCTGTTGAATTACAATACCTACTTTTAATCTAGCGTCAGTGCCACTCACGTGTTAAAACAAAGAAAAATAGTTACTTTATGATGTTATGCTTCGTTAGATATTTTGATCACACTGGTATGTCATTGGATGGTATTTGTGGGGTTGCATTTGACCATGATTTTACATATTGTATGTTGTTGTTAATTTTACAATGACTTTCCTAAAAAAGTCACCGTTTACAATTATCCATTGCGGATACAGGGTCGGCGCAAAAAGTATTGCATAATTAGGTAAAGTTTTAAAAAAATTTTAGTAATTTTCAAATTAAAATCTTATATATTTAAAAAAAAAATTTTGATCATATATGTTGTGAATAAGAAAATCATTTATATGTTAAAAAATATCAAACCAACGTATCTACACATAAAAGTAACCTTGATAAAATTAATAACCACGAAAAAAAAAAAAAAAGAAATCAAAATATTCGAATAAATCCACTCCTAAGACTCCTTTAACATTGCCCGGTTACTTACAAATTTTGAATTCGAATCATTGGTTCGAGTCTGAGCTTGAACCATTCTTATCACATTGTTATGAAAGATAATAATGTGGATAATAGTGTTCGTATGGATTCTGGCTTGGATAGTGATAATTATAATACTTATTTATTTTTCGGTACGGATTAAAACTAAAAACAAAATACGAATTAACATTTTAAATTGTTACAATAGAGCTACACTTGTATCATAGTCAATAAAAACTGAAATGTTACGATTAATAAATAAAATTATTTATTGTAAATCGTAGTACTGTAGGAATCTTGAAAGTATGTGGTTTCACTTCACAGGATACTACAGGAAGAACGATATGTACATTAGGAATAAAAATAACAAGACTATACAACTTAACTGGTTCTTATAAGATAGGTAACTTCAATGGACATAGCCAAGATTTACTTCCACATAATAATAAAAATGGTAGATAAAGGTAATGGATTTTGTCAAGAGCTATGAGTCATGCCGATTTAGTACCTGTTATTTACAAGGTCATAGCTCTTGTCAAAATCCATTAGCTATAGTATTATCTTATTTTCTGTCGATTATCTTATTTGCTAGGTTTCCCTATTCCTTTCAAAAAGAGGGTGGTGCCCCAAATTCACTTCTTTTTCCTGTTTCTTTCTTCATCTCACTCGTTTATCTTCTATCCAACACCGACCAAGACACCTCTACCAGACTGAAGCCCGGACTTATATCATTTTCTGTGTAAACCTGCCTTTTGTTAATAAAGAGGGTACATCCCATCTCTCACGTCGATGTCTGTTGCAATTAAGGTCTGTCATCCACAAAGGATTTTTCGATAAATTCTTCTTATACTTGAATTTGTTCGGTTAAAAGATGCTCTAATAAAATGTTTCGATGATGACTTATAAAGAGAGTACAAAGAAATTTCTTTAAAAAATGGACGGGAAACTGTTAGAGATAAAGGAACTTTAAGTAAATTTAAACGTAAGTTGACGTAACATCCAGAGCCCAACATTGGGGACCTGAAGGTAACATTAGCCAGTATTGGTAAACAAAGTAAATGTAAATCTTGACGGACATGTAGTCCGCCGATGGAGGACTACACGTAAGTCTCAGGGACGACAAGGGGTCCGAGAAAAGATTGAACGGATCGCATTGGAAGCCCTACTACCAACTCCATGCTTATACTTTTACGCAATTGGATGGAAAGAAATTTATGCACGCTGAGGCTTCTAACGAACCAAAGTAAGCTACAATAAATTCCATACAAGAGACTGATGAGGAATCCAGGCAAACGAAAGGCATGTCTTAGGGGCTATAAACCGAAAATCTTAACGATCAGTGAATAAATTTGGGGGGATGAGAATTGAACTGACACAGATAAGGAGTGTTCTAATTGAGAAAAGAAAAATAAGATTATCTTATAATATAATAATAATAAGACTGTTTGAATGATAGAAAATAACAGATTCTACAATTTTACGAACAGTAAGCTATTAGAATTTGCAAAAAATGTTCAATACTCACAAGATTCCAGTACTACTAGCTTTACATTAAAAATGATATTTTATTGAAAAGCGGTTCTGTAATTATAACCAACTATTCCTAATTTAAAATATCTAACTTCAAAAGTAGAAATACACATAGATTTATTAAAAACAAATTACCGATTACCGATAGTACATGTAAGCTCGATTTGCGAGATTTAAAATTATTAGTAACAAAAGCAATATGCACTTAATGAAATGAAGAACGCATGATGAAACCAATATAAAAACCATTCATTTCTTACCTGTGACCAATCAGTCCATTCATTGAGGATGTGATGGTTGGCACCATTTCCAGCTCCACTAGAAGTGGGAAATGATCTGAGTAGATATGAGGATGAGGGCAGCCTATTACTTTGTTCTGTTGCAACCATTCCTGGGAGAGGGGACCCAGCAATCCGAGCGGCGTCATCGTTTGTTTGGCATAGAAGATGTAATCGATAATACCTTTAAAGTCAAACCTACAAAAATATATACAATATAATAAGAATTGAAATGACAAAACAGATAACAAGTATTGTTTGCACAAAAATAAACCTTGCTAGTGATTTTTTCGCAAAGTAAGATGGATTTATATATTTATATATATAATATATATATATATATATATATATATATTATATATATATATATATATATATATATAATATATATATATATATATATATGGATGGACAATACTTGGGTCATGTATTGAGAGGTGACAGATATGAATTACTCCAAATCATATTCATATCATATCATTCTGATCAAAAGATCAGTTGGAAGACACTTGAACTCATGGCTGAAAGATCTAAGGAAATGGTTTGACAGCTCATCCACGGAAATCTTTCGTGTAGCACTTTCCAAAGCTACGATTGTCATTTGGATCGCCAACCTTCGAAAGGAGACGGCGCAATAAGAAGGAGAAGATGGATTTAAATGCAGTTATCGGATTTCGATTCGTAATCATCTCTACAAACTTTGTAACTATATGCGATAATAAACAAATGAACAACTGCATTTGTGCAGTAGAAAAATACATTTTAAACGTGCATTTTTAAGTATTCAAAGTTAAAAAATTTAAAACTTGATAAATATGAACCCTATTTTGTTACTTGGCGGGTTTTTGAGATCATTTAATACGAATATGGCACCGGAAAGGGCCTTAGGAGTACCGGGGCTAGATATAGGTTTTATTAATTCTTTACCATTATGGCTAAAGCTCTTTAAAAATTAATGTTCATAAACCTGTTATAATTACGGGTGACTTTAATGTCCATTTTAATGAAACAGATATCAGAGCTTTAAAACTCTGTAATTTTTTTAGATCTTACAATATTACAAAAAAAGTTAAATTTAATACTCGAGGTAATAGATGTCTTGATAATGTTTTCGCAAATATTGATGGTACCACAAAATCTGTGGATCTCACTCACACATCTGACCACAGACGTATTTCCTTTCAGATAGCTTACTCATCCACAAATTGTGCAACCAGAGTTTGTTATAGACCTATCACAGATGAAGGACTCTTTAATATGAACCAGATTTTGCTAAATTGCAACTTTAATTTTGTATACAATGATAGTTTGGATATTAATTTAAAATTTAAAATGCTAATTGATGTGTTATTAAATTCCATAAATATTTCTTTTCCAGAAAAATCTAAATTGCTAAATAAAAATAATCCAGGTAAAAAAGTAAACTGGTTCAATGACACTTTGAGAAAAATGCGTGAAAGACTTCAATTTATTATAGCAATAAATAGAAACGATCCCATTGCTGCACCTAGAAGTACCATTATCAAACTTAAAAAAGAGTACAGGGAAGCCATCAAGCTTGCAAAAGTGAATGCAAATGATAGGTTTATAAAAAATTCTGGCAACTCTCAACAAGCTATGTGGAAACTTATTAATGGTAACAAACATAAAAATGTTTTCTTCACTGATAATTCTAAACTCAATGCAGATAGTTTTAATAGCCACTTCTGCTCAACTGCTGAGAGAGTAATAAATGAGCTTGAGGTTCCTCAGCTAACTCTTGGTGACTATTTAAAGTATATACCACAAAAAAATATTCCATGTTTTAGTTTTCAGCCAGTGAACTTTAGTGAAGTTGACTTAGCTATTACAGAAATAAAAATAGTAACAGCAAAGATCCTGATGGGTTTAACACAAAAATTATTAAAACAATTAAAGATATAATTGTTCAACCTCTAACAACTTTAATAAATCAATCAATATTTTGTAATACTTATCCTCAAGTTTTCAAAACTGCAAAGGTAGTACCTCTGTTTAAGAATAAAGGCTCTATTGATGATTATAACAATTATCGACCCATTTCTTTGCTGCCCATCTTATCAAAAGTTTATGAACGAATTTTAAAAAATCAAATTAATCTACATTTTGAATCTAATAAACTGTTTGCCATAAACCAGTACGGATTCCGAAAAAATAAAAAAACAACTTTAGCTATTGATAATTTCACTAGCAATATTTTGGAAGGGTTTGAGAAATATCTTGATACTCTTGCATCGTTTTTAGATCTTACTAAGGCTTTCGATTGTGTCACACATAGTATTCTGCTTAAAAAAACTTCCTTATTATAATTTTCATAGTGATGCTATTCAACTAATTGATTCATATCTATCAAATCGTGATCAATATGTTCACTTCAACCAGTGTGATTCTTAAAAACAATCTTTGTTGTTTGGTGTCCCTCAAGGCTCGGTTTTGGGTCCTCTAGTCCATTAGTCTTATCTATATTAATGATCTAGTGTACTCTCAAAATGAAACAGTCAACACTGTTTTATTTGCTGATGACACTACTTTCTATACAAGCTATCATCCTTCTGAATTCGACACCCTTGATTACCAAACATCTGAAAAAAACTTATTCAATTGGTTTTTAACTAACCGTCTCTCTTTGAACAACTCTAAATCACAAAGTGTTAATTTTACTCTAAGAAATAACACTTGTGTCGAAAACGTTGTCCTACCACAATGTGTAACCGGAGCGAAGTTTCTGGGGATATATTTGGATGCAGGATTAACCTGGGAACAACATATAGTTAATCTATCGAAAAAGCTTTCCCGACAACGTTTTCTCTTCAGGAACCTTGTACAAGTGACTTCCAGGGAAACTATTTCAACAGCTATCATAGTAATTTTCATTCTCATCTGACATATGCTATTCTCTCCTGGGGTCACTCTTGTCATATCGATAAAGTGTTTGTACAACAAAGAAAGTGTGTTCGTATTATCTCTGGGCTCTCTTATAGAGCAGACTGTATAAACCTTCCTTTAGAAAATTCCTTTAGAATTTTAAAAATTTTAACTTTACCTTGTGTATACATTATGCAGTGTCTGTTGTACATTAAACAAAATCTTAGCCAATACAATGCGCATGTAGATTTTCACAATTATCCCACCAGATTTAACAATAATCTTATACCAGAATTTAGCCGTCTTGAGAGATCCAGAAATGGTTCAAGGTATTTAGCCATAAAATTCTACAACTTAGTGCCAGCTAGAATAAAGGCTCTTAATTTTCATCAGTTTAAGGCAAAAATTAAGAGTTACCTTATAGTGAATGCTTTTTTTACATATGAGGAGTATTTTACTTCCAATTATAATTTGTTGTAATTGTTAACAGTATAATTTAAAACAATGTATCTATGTTTTGTGTTTATATTTATGTGTACATATTAACTATATTGACATTTACTTTATTTTATTTGACTTGTAAAAAATATTTATGTATTAATTTATTAATAATAAACCATCTATCTATCTATTAATGCCATCCTCGCGGTTTTGTGAAAATTCGATGTATAATTGTCCAAAACCCGTTACTCGGGAGCTTACGGGGTCGCTGAACACGAATATGATTCCGACTAGAACCTCCGGAGAACCTGGCGCCCCGTAAAGTTGTTATCAACGTCTTTTTCTGGAGTTTTGTGAAAATTCGTTATAGAATGCGCGCCAAAATTAATTCATAATTTTAAAAATCCTGGTAAATCAAATAATTTTAATGTTTACATTTTTGTGATAATACATTATTGTTATCTCCGGTATATTGTAAAATTTATCGAAAGAACGTTGTTGTTGAACGATGTTTTTATCATTTTTTGCAAGCAAATTAAAAACATGCTAGTTGTGCTTCATTTTAATTCGAATTTAGTTGGATTGTAATAATTTGTGCTAAATGTTCATAGGCGCTTTTCAAGTGATTTATTAAGTGTTTTCTCCTTTGAAATTAACCACCGGCAGCAAAAAAATCGAAATTTGTCAGAAAGTGACTGTATTAGAGTTATTACTCTTCGCGAAGAAGAATACGATCAAGTTAAACTCGCTGAATGGTTTAATGTCACTCAATCAACCATTTAAAATGTTACTTAACACGTTTTACTGTCTTTACTGTGACTGGAAGTAACTCAAGAAGACCCGGTCAAGGCCGTAGAAGGGTTACAACTTCTAATCAAGACCGGTTTTTGACACTTCGTACACTGAGACAAAGGTTTGTTACCAGTACTTCTCTTCAAAATGAATTTTTGGATCGTTATAACTTTATAATCAGTCAAAATACGATAAAGAGAAGTTTACCCACCCACTGGCCCATTATAGACCAGAGATCATAGAAAGCAAATATTGCATTTTGCTACTGAATACGTTGTTTGGAATAATGGCAATTGGAGAAGAATGTTGTTCACCGATGAATCCAGGTACTGTCTTTTTTCTGATGACAGGCGGAACAGAGTGTACAGAAGGCCTGGGGAACGCTACGCACAGTGTAACACTATAGGGACTGTACAGTATGGTGGCGGCTCGGTAATGGTGTATTACAGACATTTTAGAAGAGCATCTCGTGCCATTTGCACCATTTATTAGGAATAATTGCATGCTTAAGTAAGATAATGCCAGGCCATGATTTGGCCTGCGAGAAGTCCTGATCTCATCCCAATAGGTTGACCATTTTTTCTCAGGAAACCTTATATTATCATATTACAATTAGCTTTAATTTGATATAAAAAACATGCATATACGTCATGAGCAGCGTATTTTATTTAAAAAAATATTGAACGAAACAAAATTTTTGTCAAAAATTAATTACTATTAATTGAATCTTGTCCTATGAGGTAACTTGGTCTCAAACCAGTTTTATAAGTTTCTCGTTCAGTCTATGTTTATGTTTGTGCTCTGTCAACCTTTGTTATTGACAATAAATAAATAAATAAAAACTTACGTGTAGTTGGTAAACGGCATTATTTCGTCATTATAAGCCGACGCCAGTTTAAAGGAATGTGTAAACTCATTCGGTTTATCACAGCTAAGTACTTTCTCTAAACAGGCCTTGTAGCTGAACGTCTTGAAGTCTTTGTGTTCCATTGCAACTCTCCCCGTACCTAAAAACATTAAAAATAATAATCTTTATATATAAAAATGAATACTTATTTCCCTTGGTCATGCCATAAGTAGCAATCGAGTTTAGAAGGTACTTGCGAAAATAAACTTTAAGAAAATTGCTTCAGAAAATTTAACGATTATTTAAATTTAAATTTGATTTAAATGTCGTTTAACAGGTAAACATTGGTCGGTCGAATCTATTGACAGTAATGTTCTTTGGAAATTATTTTCCCTCTTCCGAGAGATTTTTGGAAAATTCCCATAATAAGCAAAATAAAATAGTTTTATTTTCAGTAATTATTTCAACAATTATTGCAAACATTGCCTCCTACAAGGGATGTACATCTCCGTCCGTCGATTTTGTTTTCGTTACGTATACCCGTTCATTTCTTATAACATAAACTCGATAAAATACATTGATCTTTATCAGGCGGTGCATTTGTATCGGTTTTTAATAATGTGAACAATTTTTTGTGGTTTAATTAAAAATAAAAGTGCATTTATTTTACAACTGTTCCATCTATCAGCAAGGCTTCGAGGTTTTAATGGAGAATTACATATGTGATATGAGTTTCTTAATTTTACTGCTTCTCAATTATAGTAACAAAATTAATCTTTAGTAGTAGATAAATGAGGAAGGTACAGTATGAAATTTGGTGACAGATTACAACAATTCAAGGCAATAAATAGGAAAGTATAGAAGGGCACTTAGGGACTTATTTAGAATAAATAATTGTATAGAAGTTTAGTTCAAGTTTATTATCTATCTATTTAATTTTTAGGTGCCTTTTTTATTTCATGGAGTCAAAAGATGACGGCAATGATGCTAATTATAATTTTTTTAAATTAAAACTTGAAAAAAATTCAAAATACGTATTTTATATTTAAAAAATCAATACCTAATTTAAATAAAGTTGTTTTATTGTTGAAATATTTTTTTTTGTTTAATTTGACAGTGGGAAGGGATATTCCCATGAAAATTAAAGACCACAAGTTAAGATTACGAAACAGTAGATACAGATATCTTGCAGCCAAACAGTATATAACAGAAGCATAAGGACACGATGACGATAGTGTAATAATATGGATAACCCTACAAACGAGGTAAGCATAAAGCAATGAGAAAAAATAATACCGGAAAAAGAATAGTTTTTAATTTTAAATTAAAAACATTTTAGTTCATCTACTTCATTCATCTACTTTTTACAAAACGTACATTTTAACTGATGTACTTTGTGGAAAATTGAAAATCATACACTCAGTCAACTTACCCAAGAATTCTATGACTCCAGAATCTGGTAGTGAATTGAAATCTCCACATAATACTAACTGAATGTTACTCGAGTCCGTGTTGATGTCGTGAGCCTTCAAGGTCTGCGCAGATTCCTCCAAAATTGTCTTCAGCTCATTAGACAGCATCATCGTTTGAATAAGTTTGACATCGCAGAATTCTGGATCCCAGTGAATGTGCGCCGTGCACACCAAGATCGGCTGTTGAAAAAAGGGAGAATCTGGTGGAGCTAAAAATTTACTTTAAAGTTTATAGCCGCTGTTCTGTGGATATATGGAAGGACAATAAACATTTTTTATTATTAGAAATACAAAAATACAGAACGTTTTGTTTATATATGCAGTTTGTACAGTATAAATCCCGATGCACGTAATCCGCGTCAGAGTAAATGACGTCACATGATACCAACACAAAATATTTAAGTCTTAGGTCTGTTCGTTCTTAAAATCCTTTAGCCAAGTACACTGGAATTACATCCACGAGACTTATTTTATTATATACGTGTAGAAATAATATTTGAAGATTTCTAGTAATGTAAACTTAAACAAGTACACCATATTTTTTATCATTTAGTTTGTATAAGTGGATTATAAAGCGTTTTTATGAAGCACATTTGTTAGGATCACACTTCACACTTCAGACCTGTTTTTCTTAGTTACTATTAATTAAACTCATGTTCATCTCAGAAAAAAATTAGTGTGATTTAGTTTCGAAATATCACATAATAAGTTAAATAGTCGTTGTAAAGAAATGATAGCTTCCTTGATTCATAATTTTAAACAGGAACGAGATAATAGGCCAATTCTACCGTTGACTGCTGTTAGGAAAGTACGTAATGTATTTTTCAAATATTTAGATACCTAGAATACACATTCTTGTCTAGCGTGTAGCTGTAGCTTTAAATTTACATATTTCAACTGCAAGTTCTATCTCTCAGACCGTAGAAACTAATACAATTCTAACGTCACCACCCAAAAAAAACGTAATAGGCCCCGTAATACTGAAATAATAAATGCAAGCGAAATTCGTAATACAATTTACAGTATGCATGAACCACATACGTATACTTTTCGTTAGATATCATACAGTGAATTAAGTTAATATGAAATTAAATTTAATTCTTTGTAGAAGCCACGGAAATGGATGCCATCAGAAGATCGATGAGAATATCAAGAGCCGACAGAATACGAAATGAAGTAATAAAACAACAAATGGGTATAGAGGGCACTATAGTTGAGGATATTGAGAGAAAACAGCTCATATGGTATGGACATGTGAGCCGAATGGGGGACGAAAGATTGCCTAAAAAAACGATGATGTGGCAACCCCCAGAGAAGAGGAAACGAGGAAGACCACCACAGAGCTGGAACCTGGGAGTTAGGAAAGCGATTAGCGCTCGAAATCTGGACGAAGACCTAACTCAAGACCGAATACAGTGGCGGTTGGGAGTCGGACAACGTCGTAAGACGTTATAAAACCGAATATATATATATATATATATATATATATATATATATATATATATATATATATATATATATATATATATATATATGAATTTGACTTCTTTGTGGATTCAATTGAAGAAAAAACAACTGATTAGTGGTTTTCGTATGTCACTCAGTATTGTACTGATAGATATTGGTTTTAAATGGCAAAAAGATAATCCAAGGCGAGAACTGATGGAACAGTGTCATATTGATGCCAACAGAGCAGAATTTTTGAGATTATAACATAAAGAACTACACAAGTTTGTGTTTATAGATGAAACTTGCATTTTTCAGAATGGATCTATATGTCGCTCATGGCAAGATGAGAATAAAAGAGTGTCAAATTTATTCGAACTGATGAAAAACGGTAATATATTTAATTATATTGAAAACATAAAGATTTTGAAATAGATTTTTTTGTAGATACATCATTTTTTATGCTGGTAATGAAAATGGCTTCATTAAGGACACGGAGGCTATATATATATATATAAATCAGCTTTAATGGACTAACATGGGAAAACGAATTAAGCAAATTTTTTATCGTGGTTTGAAAATCAACTATTAAAAAGTTTGTCTGAACCATCCCTAATTATAGTGGATACCACTCCATAACATAGCATGTTGTTAGAGAAATATGTCTTTAACCAAGACTAAAATAAAAGATTGCTCAGTTAATCATAAACTTCCTTTTACTGAGACAATGTTGAAAAACGAGCTTTTGCAGATTTTTGCGCGGTAAGTACGCCTAATGAGAGTTTAATTAAGATTATCAATAATTATTTTTAGAAACAATCCACCTCCAAAATACATTCCCTGGTCCTGGTGACATCCCTGCAGAATTAGTGAAAGCGGGTACAGATAAAGTCCAGGAACAGTTAAGAAAACTCTTTCAAGACTGCTTGAATGGGGCCGAATTACCAAAAGAATGGAAATTATCTATCATGTCAACTATCCACAAAAAGGGCAGCAAGGATCAGTGTGAAAAGTACAGAGGAATTGCGGCAAACAGCACAACAAGTAGGATGTATGGGAAACTTATTAAGAACAAAATAAAAAATGACTATAGAGATTACGAAGCAGAGGAGCAAGTTGGTTTTAGAGCTGGGCGATCCACAGTAGACCACCTGTACTCTATATTACGCAAGTTATTGAGAAAAAAACATCTTACAAAAAGCATATGACAGTGTACCCCTCAGTAAACTATGGTCAACCCTACAGCAAACCAACACTAAGCATGGTCTTATCAAAGCAGTCCAAAGTCTGTATAATGAAACGACTGCAAAAATTAAAACTGGATCAAGGATATCTGAGGGATTTAAGGTCACGAAAGTACTAAAGCAGGGTTGCTGTATTTCGCTTACCCTTGTCAAAATTTATCTGGAACAAGCACTCAAGCTGTGGAAAAGAAAATGTAATGGCATGGAAATCCCTCTCAGACGAGACTACACTGTACACCTTATGTTTCGCTGATGACTAAATACTAATTGCTCAGGATCATGACGACTTGAGTTACATGACTCGGAAGCTAATAGAATAATATAACAAATGGGGTCTCGAAGTCAACATTAAGAAAACTGAAGCCATGTGTATTGGAGGGACAAAACAGTCCATTATATTAGACGATGGGGTAGAAATTAGAACCTGTGATGAATACAAGTACCTGGGTATGAAGATAACTCAAGATGGAACACTCGATGCTGCTATAAAAGAGAGAAACATACAGAGTAGAAAAGCCATATCCATGATGAACGGCACCCGTGGGACCAAACAATATCTAAAGCGAACAAACAACTCATATACAACACCATACTTAAAAGTGTAATCATATATGGCAGTGAAGTTTGGCCAATGAAACAAAGAACAGAGAAACTGTTACTAGCAACAGAAATGGACTTCTGAAGAAGAGCAGCAGGCAAATCAAGAAGAGATCTGATACAAAAGAGAAATCTGAGAGACAAAAAGAGACAAATCTGAGAAATGATGGGAGTGAAGCATACAATAGTTGATGACATAAAAACAAAACAGTTAATATGGTACGGCCAAGTACAGAGAATGCCAGATGACAGGATTCCGAAATAGATTTTGACGTAGATACCACAAGGGAGAAGGAAAAGAGGAAGGCCGAGAAGAAGCTGGAGAGGGGGAATTGAAAAGAACTAGAGGAAAGAGAAATCCCTCCAGGCCGATTGTTAGAGAAGAATGGCGGTTAGGAGTCAGAAGGCGTCGGAGAACGCTGTAAACCGATAGTAGTAGTAGTGGTAGAATAAATTTAATTGCTTAATTATTTTTGTTTAATTAATTATTTTTTTTTAACCTGAAGAAACAAGATTGATTAACATTTTAAAATCTCGTTGTAACAAAACATTTCAAAGTTAATAAGTAATGAAAAATTATTTATAAATATTAGATTACTAGTAATGGTTACATACATGAATATTTATTTGTTTTGTTGTTCCACTTCTGCAATAATTTTGTAATATGCATTTGATTTAAAATGAATTCAGGAAGTTTTTGTGATTAGGCAAAAATGTCAATTTAGAACTCTGACGTAGATAATGACGTGTATCGAAATTTATACTGTACCAACTATATATCTATTTCTTTATAATTTGAAGCAATTATTAGTACGAATTTGAGGCGCTGTCACCATTTGCCTGACTAAAACAGTGCAATTGAGAGATAGTCCAGTCGTCAGAGAGTTGACCCCTAAGAATCATACGAATAAGCTGAATTTTGCAGAGAATATTAATTTTGGGACCCGAAAAAAGATTTAAAAAAGTTTACTACTTTTACCTCCGGGCTTCCCCCTAAAACCTCCTCTGCAGGGGGGTAAAAACGCAAAAAAATCGATTTACCAAGCTATTAAATTAACAGGATTGAAACTACGAGAGAAGTATGAACAGAAAGTAAAGCCATTTCAAGTTCATTTCATTAGAGTTGGTTTCTGTGTCAGAAAAAAATGATAAGTGTAACAGTAGAGCAAACGAGTTGTAAAAATACCTATTAAAACATTATCAAAAGAACTGTATGGCAATAAACGTTTATAGCGCAGTATATTTTGAATGATTTAAAGTCTTTTCAAAATGATCATTCTTGTTTGCTAAGGTCAAATCTGGAATAAAAGGAACAGATTTTGAGTCCGTTGAAGATGTCAAAGAAAAACCGACATTTGCGCTGAAAAAGCCAACAGAACAAGACTGCACTGTGTAGAACAATTACAAAATTCGCAAATAGCGTTGTGACGGTAACAAAGGGAGTATATTAAAGGTGTTAATAAATACATATGTACCGAATCAAAATAAAATCGCCAGTCCCCCTATAGCATGATAGAATAAAAAATGAGACAACTATAAAAAATGAATAGTACAAATGACCGGACAGATGAAAGATGCTGAGGAACATAACGATTTTGAAAAATTAAATAATGTTATTACCCCTACCGTTGTCCCACGCCGCTTCTCTTGTTTGCAAGAGGGCTGCTAATCCAATGTTATCCTTAGGCATTACCCTATTTAACATGTGTTCCATTCCGTCCGCGCTAGCCATAGCTAATTGATTAAATTCAACTAAATGTTCCTTTACTAATGTAAATCTAAAAACGAAATAGCAACTTATTATTTTTATCACAACTATAATAATAAAATACTAAATCATACTAAAGATATTTTAAGAAAAAAAATTAATTAAATATAGGTAAAGAAATAATAAATAAGACTTACTCACAATCAATTTAATTTAACTATCAGACGACCGGTTTCGCTTTCTACAATATGCAAAGCATCCTCAGGTCTCGATACAAAGTTAAACAAATGCTGAAATAATAAAAACCCATATTAGGGTGTTGTCTAATAACGATAAACAAAGTAGGTGTTGTAAATTACAATAATTATGCCAATATTACATGTCTGTTGTTTTATTTAAATGAGTAAGTTGAATAAAAGGTATACAATTTTTAAAAAGGTTAAACAGACAAGATAAGGCCCACAAATTGTTATAAAATAGTCTCTTCGATTGTAATAAATTAATAAATGAGCAAATAAATAAATAAAATAAACATTACTTACATGCCGGTACTCTATTAATAGATGGAACATGGTTGAAACTACTTTATATTGTTGAATGGAGAACTCAATTCTATCACTGCAGTTGTTTGACAGTAAACGGGAAGTTCTTGAGGAGATAGATTTGATCCAATGAATTTGAGATATGTGTGAGATTGTTTGTTAAATGTAAGTGATGTAATATACTATTGGGTTATTAAAGGCTATTTATACTTATTCCAGAGATATATTTTTGAAATGTGTGTTATTTATTGAGTAATTGTTTTATGAAGGTGACAGTTTTATGACAATGAATAGGTGTACACCCACACAATTTTTACATCTACACCTATTCATTGTCATAAAACTGTCACCTTCATAAAACAATTACTCAATAAATAACACACATTTCAAAAATATATCTCTGGAATAAGTATAAATAGCCTTTAATAACACAATAGTATATTACATCACTTACATTTAACAAACAATCTCACACATATCTCAAATTCATTGGATCAAATCTATCTCCTCAAGAACTTCCCGTTTACTGTCAAACAACTGCAGTGATAGAATTGAGTTCTCCATTCAACAATATAAGGTAGTTTCAACCATGTTCTACCATCCATCTATTAATAGAGTACCGGCATGTAAGTAATGTATATTTTATTTATTTATTTGCTCATTTATTAATTTATTACAATCGAAGAGACTATTTTATAACAATTTGTGGGCCTTACCTTGTCTGTTTAACCTTTTTAAAAATTTTATACCTTTTATTCAACTTACTCATTTAAATAAAACCACAGACATGTAATATTGGCATAATTATTGTAATTTACAACACCTACTTTGTTTATCGTTATTAGACAACACCCTAATATGGGTTTTTATTATTTCAGCATTTGTTTAACTTTGTATCGAGACCTGAGGATGCTTTGCATATTGTCGAAAGCGAAACCGGTCGTCTGATAGTTAAATTAAATTGATTGTGAGTAAATCTTATTTATTATTTCTTTACCTATTTGAAATGGACTCACACAAGCAACACATTCATGATTTTAATTAAATATACTTCAATAAATTTGTTTACGATTCTAGCTGCAAATTTTATCTGTGTAATTTACCACTAGAGATCAAAACATAAATGCAACAAAAAACAAAGCAAATATGCGCCTATACCGGGTGCGGCAAATAAACGGTCGATTAGAAATATCTCAAGAACTATTGAATGTAAAAATCACTTACTTCGAATCCCTAAAGAAGATGGCGCATCCATCCACATACTTCCTTTCGCTTTCTGCCATATGTTTAGCTCTAGATTTTGGAGAATAGATACCGCTATAACCATCCACCTTAAGTTCGGGCAGAAAATAATTGTAGAATTGTTCCATTTCAACTTCCTAAAAAGCAAAAATATAAATTATATCCAATCATTACAATTTCGATTTCTAGAAACTATAGAATATTCCATTTCCTTTCATTGTTTTATTCCATGATGTAAAATAATGTTTTTACAGGGATGAGAAATTATCAAATTACTTCAAAAAGAAGTTCAAATTAAAGAGGTTCTGAACATATTAAATAACAATTGATTGTAATGAGAGTTACATTTTACATTTGTTTTTGACGTTTTGCTTTCCAATGCGGAGTCTTCTAACGCTATGGAGAGATTGGGAAATGACGAAAGGTTTAATCTTGGTGAAGGAAAAATCCGAATCTGCACCTCCACCTGGTAGAAGGCAAGAAACATGAATTTTGATGGTTAACACAGATAAGGACCGAGTAATTGCCGCTATAGCTTATAGACCAACGTTATCGGAATCATGAAAAGTTGAAAAACTTATTGAAACCTACAAAGACAAACCAGAACTGTGGGATCCAAAAAGCAATCAAGATTATATAAAAAAAAAATAAGAAACATAACGCATACGTATTAATTGCAGACAGTAATGGTTGCTCGCCCAGAGATAGTGACTGACTCGCTATTACTGATCGCATACTGGACGCTATCGCGTCCGACCCGGAGCCGGTGATCACTGCCTGAGCGGGCAGTCACGGTGCCCAGCTATTACTGACTGACTAGCTATTACTAACTGGTTGACTAATTTTTTAGTTTTTTATGTCCCGCGAACATTCCTAGTTTATTTTGCTGAGTCCTCATGATTTAAACCAGGTCGGCGCTGTTAATATTTTCCAGCGTAGGTCTATGTTTATTAAACGTGACTATTTTCTTTTTTGAACAATTGTTGCAACTGATACTGGCTCGTGTCATGCAACTAACTGGGTCAAATTGCTTTTCTTTGTATAGATTAACCTGTATACGTTACTGTATCGAAGTTGAAATCTATAATAATTATTTTGAATAATTGTTATCCTCTCTATGCTACTTAGCCCTTATTTTTTCTATTCTTTATTTTCTTGCTATGTTTACATTACACGTAGCTGAGGCTAAAGCAATCATTTAAAATATTATTTTCGCTATAAATTTCTCTACTTTTAAAAAGTGGTGTAACCAATAACGAAGCTTCCTTCGAATCTTCCGTTTCTCTTGTAAAACAAATGGTTAATTGCTATAACAGCAGCACTTACTAACTAATTTAGTTTCCATCGTGTGCGCGTAAATAAAAACTGGAACTGGCACAACGAACCACACCCCCAAACTTGCATCGCTCTGAGTGATTCTCAAAATGGTACCACCGGTGGAAACCCGCTTTAAGGATATCACGGGCGGACAAAAAAACCAACGAGACTATAGTACGAAGAATGGGGATCAATTCCGATTAGAATTAGGAATCAGTCTATGTAAGGTGTGCGTAAAACACCCTGTCAATAAACACCTCACATACAAGCTGTTATTGCGTTAGATTAATTTAAAACTTTTACCTAGTTTACATTTCACTTGATAGTTCAGTAAGTTGTGTTAAATGTTTAATAGTAAAAACAAGGAACAAAAAGTTACTGCAATGGATATGCTGTTTTTAGAAGTTACAAATTCCTCCCTAATTCAACGGGTAATTGCTGAAGTTCTTATAGAATGTTCAGTCTTGCAAAAATGTCTACGGCGAAATACAATTTTGTAGAGAGGAAATTAAACGGAAATTTGCCACTCCAGATGACAACGACTTAATACCGACAGCGGAAAATGGTGAGCGGCTATACAATTATTTTTACGGAAAGTTGGATGCTTAGTGCAAAAAGTTAAAAAAAAAGAACGAATATGAACGTACATGAATATAAATTGCCGACAACAATAAAAGCTCCAATGACAGTATCGGTTAAAAAAGAAAGATGAGGGAATAAAAGATCAGAGAGACTGACTTAAAAAAAATACAGACAAGTAAAAAATAAGATTATTAATTTAAAAATATGCATTTACGATTAAAAAAGAGCGCAATGAAAGGCTAATCGGGAATAAAGTGCAATAAACAAAGTTCTTATTCAGTCCCAATCAAAGTTTCACTAATTTTCAAATTAAAAGCGCATTTATTGAATCAATGGTTAGCAAAAAGTAATAAATCACATCCGAATATATTAATACCTTATCTGGGTTGTGATAAGTACAGCCAAGAAGAACATGTCTGAAGGTTATCGAGAAGAATACATCCTGGGATGTTGTCAAAAGAGTGATATGCCCGAATTCTCTTAAAACTGCAGACCAAGGGATTGCAGATGAACTTATTCATATTCTGAACGTAGCACGGCAGCAAAAAAGGACGGAAACAGTAAAAAACTTAAACTTTCAAACATCAAATTAAAAAGCTTGGGCCTTAATAAGGCAACTTGGGGATGGTAGAAGCATTTAACAACGGAGAGTAGTTATGTACCCAAACCACTCTCGTGCTTTCACAAGTGAACAAATAGAGATCACCCTTAAAGACGTTTCTCCTGGAAAAGCCCCATGTTTCAACGGCATCCACAGTGAATTCATACTCAATTGCAGGAAATACACAAAAACCTGGTTAGATCATTCCTTCACAAACGTCATTCAGAACGGTAGAATCTCACGGAAATTTAAACGTTCAAAATTTATAGCAATACAACCGGGTAAACCAGCTGACCCTTCAAAAAGCTATAGATCAATTGCTCTGTTATATATAACGTATAAATTACTTAAAAGACTATTTTTTTGTCAAAAGTGGTCCAGAATTTAAGAAAGTTTGCGAAACACTGAGCTAACGTATAGTGGTATACTGAACTTATTGTTTTAGAGTAATTTTTTAGTTTTACACCTACAATTATTGCAGCTGGTAAAAGTTCTGTCTTATTTATTCTATATCTTCAGTATACTTCAGTGATGCAGCATATTTTCACTATTATTACCGCCCCCTTTGGCAATATTATCAATAAGTCAAAATATTATCAAAACCTCATTATATTTAATTATCAAAAACAATTCTAATATTTTCTTTGTTGATTACGATATTTAATTTTTTTCTATATAGAAGATACTTTCAAATACCTTTAAGAAATTTAAAATAATTTACCTGAAGATTGATGATATCAGCTCCATAATGTTTAATTTCTTCTAATATACCCTTTTTCCTATAGTCCCAGTTGAGGGCCCAACTAGGGCAGTAACTGTACATTTGCCTAGTGGCATATTTATCACAAAGAACATTGTAACACATCACAGTGAAGATACCTGCAACAAAAAACTATTATTAAAATTGGCGAGTGGCGCGTTCACCAAAATTTTAAATGCGATTTGAGGTTTTATTTTTTTATGTTTACGCCAGATTTTAAACAGAACAAACCGCGACAAAGAAGAAAAATTCATGTTGGTGTAGAGTGGCAACAAATTTAATACTTCTTTTTCCACCCTTCTTACCTTTTCTGAGGCCACAAATTTCACTGTTCTATGTCGATTAAGCAGTTTTTTATTTATTTACTCAACAGAGCTTGCAGGCCTAATCTTACATTACATTTCCCAAATTTTACATTATATTACTTACAATTATTGTACTTAATTTTACATTATACTATACTTAATTTTACATTATATTACTTACAAAATGGCTTTGGCAGAGCCAATTAGTCAGACCCAATTAGCCAGACTTGTTTGTGTATTTTTATTATCTGATTCCTGCTTTTACTATTCTTTTCCATTTAACACTGTTGTTCGCTATTTCTTTTCAGTAAAGAACTACAATATCTCTTAGATTTTCTAAAATATTGTCATACTACCTACTCCTTGGGTGTTCCTTCTTCCTTTTCCCTATTGGTCGTCTGCTCACGACCATTTATGGCATAATATCCTATCAATCATTTGCGCGTGCCCCAACGATCGCAGTCCTTGTTTTTCTACGAAAATTGTAATGTTGGGCATCCCATATAAGTGAGCTCGTACACCAAGGCGATATGCAATACGCAACATGAAACCCGCAACATCCAATAAATTTTGCCGATTAATATGTATCTCTTGAGCGCATTTAAAACTGCTAGATTTCCTGGAACTATCGTTCACTAAAGAAACAGAGATAAATATCGTCCAAAAACCACATGAGAGATTCGGTGCATATCGTCCCGCAATGTATATTGTGCGATTCTTAAGAGCGTAGGCGCAAAATTTCGGGCCAATGCTTTTTAAATGCATGCATTTTTTTTAGAATCCTGAGAAAACTAATAAATATTTTAAAAAAAATTAAACTGAGGCATATGTCATTATTGGTCTTACACTGGCTTTATAAATTCTTGACTTCATCTAAGTGTTAATGTGTCTGGTTTGCCATATAGTGTTATTAAGGCATCCTGCATGCATGTTTATTTTTTTTTGTGCTTGATCCCTTACTTCTTTATCCAGGTCTCCATAGCTGAACAGTGTAATTCCCAGGTATTTTATTTCCATTACTTGTTCGATACTGATGCCATTTTACAGCTGGTTGGTTCTTTGCTGATTACTATTGTTTTAGTTTTCTTTATTTTTTCGATATGAGATGATTTAAATACTGCTCCATCACTATTCCGTCCTAAATCACCTACATCCATTGTCAACACGCTATCTGCATCAGCAGCCACCTTTAACACCACCGACAAAAATCGTTTGTAATTAAAATTACTAGAGTAGGCAATCTGCAAGCACCGGTTGTTTCGATGATGTCAAATCCGTACAGAATATTACGGAACCAGATACTACAATATTACCTAATTTTCTCAAGGTGGAGGTTCAACTGTTCTTGTAAAACAATATCGACGCATTCTTTTTTTTCTGATGTCTTTTTAGAAATAGCCAAGCTATAATTACATCTTCTTCTCTTAAAGACATTTCAGATACTGAAGTTCCATAATTGGTACGATCATGTATTTATGAAATATGACGAATAACGTGTCAGGTATAACTTGGAAATTATGCGCCCTGTTTTCCGCGTCATTAACACGACGGCATAACCGCTCGTGTAAGAGCTCCCTTACATCACATCGTGCGGATCCGAGACTGAGCTGTGAAATTCCGCGCACAACACATTGGACAGGGACAGGTTCGCGTGCACTAAATGTAATGTGAATTTTTTTAAATCACTCACGCTTATAACCATATTGTTGACAAAGATTTGAAAACACTATTAAGTACTAGGTATTGACTACTATGCTTAAACTACTTACATGTTGGTCTATTTGTTGATGGCCTTGCCAGAGGGATCCACGGTCGAGGAGGTGGCGAAGGAGTAGTAACTAAAAGAAAAAGAGAGAAATTAACATAGTTTCAAAAATAGAACCATAATATATATGTATTATAAATGGGCTGGTCTTTTACACATCTAATCATACATCAAAAATCTTGCGCATAGAAAAATTAAGTAGCAACCTCCTTTCAGTGTTGTACTGTAAATAAGAGCGGTTTTTGTAAAATAACAAAACATTTTAAAGCACAAATAACCATAGAATCTACAAAGTCTACCGTCTTTTAAATATGTGCGAAATTTCTCCCCGATCGGTAAAATAGTTCAAAAGTTATTTAATTTATTTATCCCTGAGGCTAAATATTTAAACTATTGAACATGCTCTATAAGAAGGTTTTTTTAAATGTGAGTTTTTTTACCAGCTATCCAATGGTTGTCCGTACAAGTCTGTAGCTTGAAAAATATAGAAGTTATTACAATTGTTTATAAGTAAAAAGCATACCCCTTTTTCAAACGTTTATTTTGTAAATTATCTCGATTAAAACGCAATATACATTTAACTTCTGAGATAGTTTAAGTCTTAAAGAATCCTATGAAATTTGCTAAATGTGTCTAGCATCATTAATAGAGCAAGTTCAATAGTTTAAATATTTAGCCTTAGGGATAAATAAATTAAATAACTTTTAAACTATTTGACCCACTGGGGGGAAATTTCGCACAAATTTAAAAGACGGTAGTTCCTCGATCTTCAAATGTATTAATAACATTTTATTTTGTTAATAAAAAAAATAATTTTAATTTAAAAAAACGGGAAAACAAAGATATTCTTGATTGAATTGTTCCACTTCTGTGCCATAATGCTATTAAGTGCTCGATCAATTGACGCTTTGTGGTTATAATTTCATTAGAAATTTCTTTCTTCATCAGCTTCCAAACATTTTCTATTGGATTCAGATCTGGCGAATTGTTGTACCAGTCGCGCATCTTTATCTGGTAGTCAGCAAGGAATTTTGTAACAGTTTTTGCCTTGTGAGAAGGCGCCGAGTCATACATAAACGTGAAACTCTTATTCGAGAACCACTCCTTGACCTGGGAAATCATTTTTGTTTGCATTACTTTCAAGTACTGGTCCTGCCGCATTGTTCTTTCGACAATTTAGAGTCTACCAGTTCCTCGACTGCTTTTGATATACCGTACCAAACTTCTCAGTAGGTGCTTTACCGTCCTTACAATATAATCTGCTTTACATTTTTCCCAGGTCTTCAGCTCTGTCCATGAGGATCTGCACAGTAGATTCGTTCGAAAAACAAACTTTGAATATAATCTTTATTTTATAATCGTGGACAAATTGATCAACTGTAACCTCGAAAGGTCCGCATTTCAACGAATGAAAAAATTCCTAATAAACTCTACGTTATCGTTGGATATAGGATACCAATTTGTAAAAACGTTTATTTATTTCATATTGCTATACGGAGTGGAAACATGGACTATCGGAAGCTCTATAACTATATTTAATCTAATATAGTATTAGATTTCGAAACTCAAACTATATAAGTGTATACACACTAAAAAAGAAAAAGCACAGAGACGGTAAGGAAACGACAATTAGGCACACGTCCTCCCTTAAGGATCGCCATACGAGAAGTACCTCTTTACTCAACAAGTGCCCACTCAGAAGTGGTCTTCTTTCTGCAAAAATTTACCAAAATACTAAAAAAAAAGATGAGGGTATCTCCCACTTAAAAATGATAAGACAGTTGTATGTATTTCTGAGAAGGTAAGATTCTAACGAGCATCTAAACTAACGGTACCCTTCTAGCTAGGAACGTGATAAAATATAAACCTTGTGGATTAGGTTTTTACCGAAACATACCATAAAATGCTTTCGACGATTTTGTTTGTTTCCGCCTTAAAGCCGGAAGGAATTAACCGAGGATTACCTAAACCGTCGTTTTTAATAAATCGGATCTTCCGTAATCTGAAAATTCCCGTGACATTTCGGTAGTCGGTAGAGTGCAATACAATTTTTTAATCGTAAACACGACCATCGGCGTATCATCCGCAGGGGTAAAGGGATTAGAAATAATATAATATACTAATTATAAAAAAATGTTACACAACTGTAAACTACATAAAAGAAAAACAATATTAAATCATGTTAATCTAATTCCAATCATTATTGGTCCAATCTTTATGATCTTTAGCCCATTAAAGCCTTTTTTTTCATGGATGGTGTGAGGTGGGTTGAAAACTCCAGATCCTTTATTCGCCGACGAGATGTCATTGGTGAAATATTCATGCCAGACTCCTGCATCATTTTCGTTAAACTCCTTCGAGGTTGTTTTTTGTTTTTCAAGACTATATCTCAAAGTTTTCGTTTATCTCATGGTATTGTAATTTTTTTTTGACAACATTTTTGTTGGCGCTGTGGTGTCAAATCCAAATTTTCGTAAAGTTTTTTCTTTGTACAGTCCACAGTTGCCCTTGAAACTTTAGAAATTGATGCTATTTTGCTGTTGCAATGATTAGAGTTTCCTTGGCGAGATACCTTTGGCTTTACCCATGATGTTTTGGTACCACTGATATCCATGATGTTCAGGTTTCATAAAGTGTTGCAAGATAATCAAATGAAAATAAACGTATTAATATATTGTACAGCTCAATTAAATACCATTTTTGCAAAAAAAATGGAATTTTAGTAGGTGGCTCTAATAATTTGATCACCCTGTGTATATCGAGGCGGACCTGCAGGAAAAATAAGAAAAAGTCTTCTTTTAAGAATATTAAATGGCATTGAAGAGGAAATGCCAAGTGCGTCGGTTAAGAAATTTTATTGTTGCTGTATTATTACCCAACTAAGTAATAATTTGAAAATAGTGTCCTTAGTAGTTAAAACATGTATTTTAGTAGTTTGCCTGTTAGCATATTTATTAGAAATTATGTTCTGGAAGAATGTAAAATAATCACTCTACATTTCTTACAAATTATAGTAATTTGCTACAGAAGTTTGCATAATTATAATTTAAAACACAAGAGTCCACAAGATTAAAACATCCCGTATATAATAAATTCGCCATCTGATCTGAAACGTGCCGCTTGCTTTTAGCATTCACAAAGTCTCAAAGTATCATTTAGCACGAGAAAATTAATGATCATTTTAAAATTGCCGTACTCAGCCTTAATATAATGTTACAGCGAAGTTTTTTATAATGTTGCATAATTTTCTCTTGACATCTTATCTTTTTAAATTATCGCGATATTTATTTTCTTTTCCAGCTCGCATCATCCTTTATTGCGTTAGAACAAGACTCCTCGATGTTAATTAAAATCGTGTTAAGGATAGATTATGAGAGGTGTATACACAATTGATTTATGTTGCGTTCAAAATCCATTATTGCGAGAAACGCTAAAAAGTATACCAACCGATTCAATTTAATTAATATGCTCCTAAGCATCGATGTTCCGAACAACTTAAATACAACAGGAAGTGAGTAAGTGAATTTACTTCCTATTATAACATTTACTATACTAAATTTCAATAAGCGATGCAGGGTGTGTAAACAACGATTAAAATTCTATTTTATTTGTTAAAGATGTTCAAAATGTATCTACTCGTTCCGTACTAAAAATATCGTAGTTGACAGCTGACATATAAAATGTGCTACACGTAGTACACTGTGAGCCAAAGGTAAAAAAAAAAATTTAAGCATGTTTTATTTGAATGTATTAAAAGTTCTTTTACATTACTTTGAGTGGTACAATAAAAAATCATTTTGATTTTTTTTAATACATAGATGTATTTTAATGCAAAAAATTTGTGTTTTCCAGCAGATTTTGGCAATTTACACCTGGTTTGGGAATATATAGGTTTATCGTCAAAGTCAGGAAAGTGTCCTATAGCATCTAATCGAACTTCTCTGATAGGTCCATATTCTTGACACCATTTTTTGCTAGGTGGAGGAGATAAACTGGGTGAATTATCAGTTGAAGATGGTCTTCCAACCTTCTTACCCATTTGTCCATAATATATGAGCGCTTCTGCAATATACAAACTAAAATGAAATAGGTCAAAAGTATGTCTTTGGGCTATATTAAGGAACTTTGCTTCCTTTCGATAATCCCACCATGCATTACAACATGCCAAATCAAGAGCATGTGTAAACATTCTTAGGATCCACTTTTTAGACCTTATGAAAGTTCTCATTTGTCAACACCTCCCATATTGGCATTGTAATGTTTTATAACTTCTGGTTGAGGCACCATAAGATACTGTATTTCTGTTTTCCTCCATCTCTTGCAACTATCTTCTCCTTTTGACTGAAAATTTGAGGCCATGGTTACACATTTGTTATCTAACCATCTAGTCATTACGACTTGTCCATCATTACTAATGATTTCTTGTAAAAATCCTCGTTCTTTTTTAGCTATTAGCTTATCTGGTAAAAGTGGAGGTTTTGCAAAACGTTCTGCTCTGACTGTACAGGAGGCATAAATATGATTGTTTTGAAGCCACTGCAATAGTTGGTAATTAGAAAAATAATTATCGAAATAAAGCTGATGGTTTGGATTGGTTATTCTTTCAGTAAATTTTATTACGACAGCTGTAAATATTACGACAGCTGTAAATAAAGTAAACCGGAACTTCCACAAAAGGCATACAGTTTTATACCCCATGGACTCGGCTAGCTTTTTATATATTGCTTAAGGCTTAACTGTCCCTTGAACGGAATAATTTGTTCGTCAATGCATAATTTTGTTTCAAGTGATAATTGCATACACCTTTGTCGTATTTTGTCGTAAAGAATTCTAACTTTCCAAATTTATCAGTGTCATTCGGTTGACACTGACAGTTATAAACAGCCGTAAGAAACTGTTACCAACGAGGTTGCGACTTCGGACCGCTACAGGTGAACATGCCAATATTCATGAAGAAATCCAGGTATAATTAGGACTTGGAGCAGAAAAGTTCGTCCATACTGTTATAGTTGCTGACATCGAAGAGGATTTTATAGTAGGAATGGACGTAATGAATATCCATGGATTCCAATT